TGCCTATCTATCATGCAAAGTAATTTTCATTTTAAGATTAAAAATACTTTTATGCATCAGAAAATTTTCTTTATAGTGTTCAGATAGTTACCAAATGCTTCTTATGAAAAACTATATTTTATCTGTTATTTTCAGTAATTAATCTGTATACGGGTTCGACAGATTTGACCGATAAATGTTTAGACTAAATAGCTTAAATCTCATAACATTATACATTTATATATATTTATTATTTTTATTATAGTGACCTTTCAGCCATGCCTGGCTAACAATACAGAAGTTACAATGATGTGACTCACGTGCACTCATGTTTACGTATCAAATAACACAAAACTGACCTTTGGTCTGTACAATGTAACTTGTATTGGCTGTGTTTTAGTAGACTAGTATTTTGTAAAATACAATCACATTTCAATTAATATACATTATTGCTATTTTAAAATAAGTTCTTAACTTATTTTTCTTCAAACATAGAACAGTAAATAAAGAAGTAAAGCAAACATTTATCTCTTCTAGTTACAACCTTTGTACTCGGTTGCTGCTTGACGTAGGTTGCTAAGCCTATAAAAATTTTGCATGTGGAGGATATGAAACAAAATGTTATTATTTAGGTTTTATATGTACATTTGAATAACTAAATAATTATAAATTACTACATCAATACCATAGAATTGAACTATAATTTTTCTTAGTAACTAAGATGCATTTTAATTAAAAAAACTATGACTAAAGACACATCCTACCTCATTAAAATCTTGGTTCAAAAGAAAGAAATGGTGCCTTAAGAATTTAACTTGGTTTATAAACCCATTAGGGGGACATTCTGAGCTTCCGATCAGTTATTCATGTTTAGAAGTAATTGTATATAAGGGAGCATTTTCAAAAATGGAAAGAGGTGGGTGGGGTGCCACTGTGTTTGATTTATTATATGAGCAATATCTTAGCAAAAAGAAGAGGTAAGGGCTTCTTATTTTATATTCCAGCTTGTCAATATTGGTAATTTGAGTTTCTAATTCGTATGAAACTATAGATGTAGAATTTTAATTTCACAAACATATAATTTGAACCAGTACTGCATAACACGTGACACACAAAAATCAATGTTTATCTGTATTTGTTAATATTTACTTTTAAATTAAGAAATTGAGTAATATATAGTACTAAAATCTGAATTATAATCTACAGTTTGATAACAAAGTTACTGACATAAATTCATCATATAGTAGTTCAATAAAATTTTGAATGCAAGTCAACAAACAAGATGACATGGCCTTTCAACCGTGACCTGTCTTGAAAGGGTCAATGAACAATAAATCCAAGTTAGTATATCATCTGTCTGGTTTACAGTGCAACTCTACAATAATTTTTTTTTAAACTAAACTACAGAAACTGACTCTAACCTAAATTTATACAGCTGAGTGTCTACTACTCTTCTACATTAAAAAAACAAATCAAATGCTTTCCAAAAGTTCAACTGTTGAAAATACTAAGGTTTTATCTTTTTTTCTTTTTAATGTAAATTACCAACTTTTTTTTTGTCCTTCATAGTTTTTACCTTTGTGATAATTACTTCTACTAACAATTCTACACTTAACTAAATGTTATTTAATTACTGTTTTCTAAAGATACATCTGTTCAATAACTTTACTTACTGTTGTAAGGAGGCTCAATCTGTGGAAGTACATTCTCAAAGACAAGCTGCTGCTTTGGGTTCTCTAGCCAGAGTTGTAACTGAAAAAAAAAAATCATAATGGCTAATAGAAAATACTTAAGGTGTTTAATACAAAAACAAACTACTGATTTGGGTTCTCCAGCAATAGTTGTAACTGAAAGGAAAAAAAAGTTATTTCATAATGATGTTTAATAATTTTTACCGAAAGTTTAAATGACATAAATTACTTTTACAAGCAGGAAGAGACTAGAAACAAGTGCTACTATTATATACAAAATATCGGGATAAATGAACTTTTTAAATCAGAATCTTCAGTGATGGTAAATCTGTTACGTTTTCCACATGAATGTAACTTATTTTAACTAAAGAAATAACATGAATTCTCCTCAACCTTTTGTTGGAACTTTGTGTTTTTTTCTTTAATTTATCAATATTTACCTTCACCAACATTAGACATGGATCAACTTGAATATTTTTCTTCTAACTAGTAACAGAACACAAATGCAGTTAAAACTACTTTAAATATCAGGTGTAATATTAGTAATAAAAATCACATTAGTTTTCAGACAATGTATTAGCTGTGACATAGCTGCTCATAGAATGCCTCCGAGTTTTTCAAGTATAAACTTTTAGTTCATGGCTCCATCATCGATTTGAGATCTAATTACAGTTTTGGACTTAAGAGGTCAAACCCTTTCAACTGATGTATTTGACCATGCCCAAGATCTCATAGATTAATTTACTCTAATCGTTCCTGAAATATTAAAATATTAAAACCTACAGATTTCAACTGTTTTGCCCTAATTTGAAATTCAAATTATTATTCCAAGTGTTGTTGTCAGATGAAATGAAATATAGCGATGCATTACTCCACGTGAGACTACATCCTTCTAATGCAGGGAACAGTCTTTGCCCAATAAAAGTGATAGAGCAAAAGACATTATCAAAAGAAGTTAGAACCTTCTGTTAAAAGTGTTGCACAGGAGTATGGAAGGTAAAAGTGTTCAACCTGCCATCATCTTACAGTCAGCTGGCTGAGCATGAGTGTGGTTAGAGCAATAAGTCAGGCTATACCATACTGGAGAAATATTCCACACATGTACACAAAAATAATTCAGCTTATTAGCCACCAGGAATGACTTAGTTCATTGTGTAGCCGAGTGATCATTATTAGCACCCAAACTGTACCTTCCACCAAAGGGTGCATCCACCCAGTCTCACACCAGTGGGATTACAGATAACACAGACCAGTGAGAAACTATCAATATTGACCTCCCAAGCAGCTTTAGTTCTCATGTTAATTTACATTGAAATAGGGTTGGGGTGGGGGGGGGGGGTTAGCATAGGAATGTTGCCTGAAAGGCACTTGGGCCAAATAGAAATTACCACATATGCATAAAGTCCCACAATGATAAGCTATATAAGATTGCCACAAATTAAGACAGAATGCACTAGCCAGGTGTAACAGCAGGTTCACACCCGGTGCTGTCAGTTGTATCTTTTTCCCCCTAAAGTATGGTATTGCAGAAACCCCCATCTCAGCAGTGTGCACTGAACAGGGGCAAATGGGCTTAACATATCTGTCATAACTCACTGGACAATGATGTTTTTGGGAGAAAGTATTCCCTGTGAGGCAACACCAGTCATTTGATTGGTTTCAGTGTCTTCATAATATAAATATATAGACTGAAGATGGTAGTTGTGAGACCTTAAAAAAATAAAATAAATAAACAACTCACTTTCAGGGAGTCTCTATGACGAAACCATAAAATGGTGTAAGTAATGCGACACTAATGCGTGAGAGGTCATCCACTAATGTGTTGAGGGGGAATAATCATACGGGAAAAAAAAGGGATGCTGAATGGAGAAAACAGCCAATCACTCTCCTGAGCAGCTCATGGTTAGGAAGAAACAAGCAGTCAAGAAAAAAGATTAAATTTTGTACTTCTTGGAGGGGTGGTAAATAAATTACAGAAGAGAGAAGACTTAGAGAGCAAATGTTACAATTCTCATACTAGGGGAGACTGAGGATTTTTTAAACTATTTCCTTATAAAATTAAGAATTTAACACTTGATTTATTAACTATGTTTTGATGCAGAGTTTATTCATATACAATGAAAATAAAGTAGTTTTAATTACATTTTAAATGTAATTCTGTAAAAGGTTGTGACATGTGCACTTTGACCTACCTGTTGGAAAAGGGTTCTATTGCCACTTGTGCTGTGCTCACCACAAGTATGAAAACCTAAATACATGTGAGCAACATAAGCCATGGGGGATCTGAATAGATACAATTCTGGGTGAGGTAGAGAGACATAGAGGGTTGCATGGAATTTATAGCACATTCAAGAGGAACAAAAGAAGTGAGAGTTCTCAAAAGAAAATAAACCCTCTCATGCAGGAAAATAAAGAATTATGAGAGCCCTTGTATCAAAAGCTCCATCTCTTGATGACAAAGGAGAAGGCTGAGCCTGCCCTGTATATGAAATGAATTAGATACTGTCTGGAGGAGTCAAGGCTAAATTGAAGAGCCAACCCAGTGAGATGACTATCGAATGAAAAGGGAGGTCATAATAGTGAATGCCACATTAGATGGGGCAAGAATAGGCCATATATCTATACAGTAGTGGAACAGTAGGCCTAAAGCATGCAATATCTGAACAATAGCTCACCAGACCCAATTTAAAAACATACAGGGCTGTAATCAACCTGAAGAGAAGGGCTGTGATAAAATTATTTTATGTTCTGGAAGAACTGAAGGAAGTGAAAGGTAAATGGACAAATCAGGATGTAGATAAAGCATCTGATACAATAATTCAAGCCATCCACATCCTGGGAGAGTAACCACCTCAGAGGACAAAAAATTGTCAATCTGAAACCAAAGAAAATTGGTTCAAGTTTGACAGATAATCAATCTCCAGCCTTCATGGGAATAAAACCTCTGAGCAGGGTCAAGGAACCATTCCATGGTGTTCTAATCAGGTAAGGTGGAGAGTAGAAGGACCGCTGTAATGGCTCTGTCAAACTTGAACCAAGACTACTGGGTTACTCAGTTGTTTTTCCATAATCAATCTCCAGCCTTCATGGGAATAAAACCTCTGAGCAGGGGCAAGGAACCATTCCATGGTGTTCTAATCAGGTAAGGTGAAGAGTAGAAGGACCGGGAAAAACAACTGAGTAACCCAGTAGTCTGTAGCAAATGGAGTCCACAGATGTACAAAGTGGGAGAGCAGAACTCTAGAAATAAGTCATCTTTAAGACCTGCCAGCCATCAAAGATGGTGTTGGATAGTAGCAAGAGGACTAAGAAAAGGAGAGAGAGGAACTCTATGAGGCAGGAGAAGATGAGAAATTTGGTGAAACCCCTGATCCAAAAATGCAATAAATGAAAGAGAACAGAGATATGAGTTGCATGAGCTCAAGATTCCAAAGTGTAAGAAACATTCCTCAAAATCCTCAGGAGATCAGGAATCCTAGATCCAAGATCAGAATGAAAACAACCATCTGGTGTACAATGGCCTGGTATGTCTGTGATGCACAGGCCTAGTATGGTATAATGGCATCATTGAATAGTATATAACAAAACCAGTATGCATGCTGAATTAAAAGAACGAGAAATAGTACTGGCAAAGAAACTTTCTCACAGACACTTGAACTTGTGTCCAAAATTACAAATATGATTAAAAGAAAAATCAAACTGAAGATACTTCAATTAAAAGTTCTAACTGAAATGTTTAAAATCTGCCATTCTTTCTCATAATCCAGAAAATTAAGGAAAGACAGACTACACTATGATTTGGTAATGAAAATTTAAAATAATTAGCACAAAAAGTCCATCAATTCCAAAGAAAAACATGTCTGAAAAAAGCAGCACCAAGAAAAGTTGAACCTTTCTACCAATACTACTGCATGTGGAGGATGTGTCACCTCCTATTACACCAACTGCTGGTGTGTGTGTTTTGTTCAAGGCTTGTGACGTGTGGAAAAATTTTCACAGCAATCCCACAAGGTAATAGCTTTTTGTTGTGCAGAGAGGTGAGTATACGTTTCTGAAAATGATAATTTTATTCTGTGATAACTGATAAAATAATTAGTAATCAATCACTGTGTTTTACAGTGGTTTTATCTAATAGAAAGGCTAATACACTGAAAGATTCACTTGAAACAGCAATGTAAAAATTTATTCAAAACAGTATTAATAGGCCATTTTGGTGAAACAAATATTAACTTTTCAAACCAATAAAAATACCCATAAGAAGCTAAAGAAACAGAAAACTGCCTAAACTTAATAAACTGAAAAAGATCCAAGAAATATGGCACACCTTCCTGCCATCTTACTCATTCAGTTAAATAGAAGCTTATAAAGTGAGTGAAATACACTTTGACGCTGTGGTATTCACGAACACTGATGTCCAAAGGATTATGAAATGTTATGCGGAAAATACTTATAATTCTCACAGCAAAGGGGAAAAAAGGAAAAAAAAGAAAGAAATGAAACAAATTTTTATTCACAATATCTGTTTTCATCATCAAAATGGCCAGCTTTATACTCTCAACAGTGATTTTGAACTGGCTGCTGAGGTGAAGAGGAGCCCTACCAAGTTACTGAGTAATGCAAATAAGATCTTAGATGACTGTTCACAAGGTAGTGAAATATTACACAGAATTAGAATTAAATATTTCTAATGATTGCAAGAATGGTAAGTTTTCAAATAGAGGAATGGCCAAAAAACAAAACAACAGGAATGAAATAATATAAGTAATACCAAGACACACTAATAATATTTGTAATAAAACAGCTCTCAGTTGGAAACTATAACAGATAGTCTTACCAGTCTGTTTCTGACATGCAAGAAGACTTTCTGAGTCTGAGGAGGACCTTGAGCGATATCAGGAAAGCATGCTGCCTCTTGTGCTGTCATTTTGTCAAATGGAAGACGACTCTGAAAAGCAGCACCTTCTAGGCCTGTTGGATCATCATGCTCACTATCAACTTCCTCTTCTTCTTCTGGAGCCTTGACAGGAGCAACGACACTCTGCTTTTCCTGCTTGACCTTAGATTCTTCATCAGAAACATACTCTTCTTCTGATATGTTGGAGGCTTTTTCTTCATTTTCTTTGTATTCAACCTGAAATATTTATGTAATGTTCACTTTTTAAAGATAAATGTAGCTAAAACTGGTGGTTAATGTTAATAAAATTACTCCTACTTACCCTATAATAGGTAGTAACTTTCTTTTGACATTTTTTGATGGAAGTGCTATCCAGCTTTTGAACCGATTCACTTAAAGGAGTCATGTTTTAGTAATACTAAAGAGTGTACACCATACAGAACACTATAGATTGGAGGAACGAAAGGATAAACACAATTAATCTGGCTCAGAAGCAATGTTGAAATCATACTCTGCAATGCTGTTATATAGTATGCTTTGGTCTACTCAAACAGTGTCGTGCTCAAAGTGTTTTATGAAGACCACAACTGGCATCAGTTCTTTCTTGGTTTTACATCTGTGTTCAGGAGCAATGAGTGCACTACTAATATATGTAATTATAAATTCTACTTCATTCTGCAAACTAGGTCTACTCAAACAGTAAACTTTCTATCATACGTGTCGTGCTCAAAGTGTTTTATGAAGACCACAACTGGCATCAGTTCTTTCTTTGTTTTACATCTGTGTTTGGGAGCAACAAGAGCACTACTAGTATATGTAATTATAAATTCTACTTCATCCTGCAAACTACAATAATACTACTACAGTTCCACCAGAACTGGCATCAGTTTCTAGCAGAAATTCACAATCCTGTTGTGGATTTGCCAACAACAAGTCCAACGAAACTGTTTTGTCACAGGTGAAGTCAATCTTCCACCATTGCTATTTTAGCAGGATATGTGGAGATTCTACTACACCCACAATATAATTGAGATATTCCACCTTTGTTCACATGAACAAATATGTTTCAGGTTCAAGCCTTTTTTACCACTTAGAATATGATCTTAAGGTTCTCAAACATAGACTCTAATGAGAAACCATACACTAAGATACCATCAATATAGACCAAGTACTTCTTACATCTCCAGTGTATGGTTTAGAGAGTAGCAGGCACTTTAAACAAGCTGAAAAATATGACATGAAACTTGTACATGCATGTCATCTCTCATACTTGGATCTGATCTCATCATCCAGCTCAACATGCCACTATCCAGATGCCAGGCCTAATGTACTGAGCCAATGGATCTCTTCCAGTACATCCAGACATTCCTCTGTTCACAATGAAGGAAAGGCATCTATGGGAGTGACAGTGTTCAATTCAGAACCTGAGCATACCTTCCTTCTTCCTGACAATCACTACTGGAAATAATTAAGCACTCTCTGAAGGCTGTATGATTTTTTTCCTTTAACATCCACTGTACTTCAGAACTAGCTACATCCCTAATGCTCCAGAGAAGCCTGAGCAGTGGTTAATTGGATGTACATTGCCTGTATTTATGTCTGATAAATAAACTGGCATATCACACCAACAAGTCACCAAGTTCCTGCTGCTGTGTGGAGTCTAGATTTTCTGCAAAGTTCTCAAGTAGCAATCTCAGACATATTGGTATCTTACAGATTGTATTTACAGATGTGATGTGATTGCCACAGCCCCAGTGCTGTTGCTATCTTCAGTTACTTCCACTCTATTAATGGTACCAATGACCATTTTAGTGTGCAGCTGGATATCATCCCTAATGGCAGAACAACACTGGGACTCTATATCATACCAAACATATAACTGTTTGAAATAATACCCAGCTGAAAAAAAAAAAAGTGATGAATGACTTTGGTACTGACAGTCGAGACAACTCAGCCTCTTCTCACAGAAAACAGTGTGTAGAGATCAGTTGGACAAACCTAAAAAAAAAAACTGTCACAAGTTCAACCAAGCCAGCATTCTATAGATTATCCTTGGTAAAGCAAACACTGAAATTAACTGAAATAACAAAAAGCTGTCTTAAATTTGCCAACAATGAAAACTGACAACAAAATAATAATAAATAGTTCCACTGATGAAAAATTGGTAAGCCTACAAACCCACTCTTTGTCTCGTAGTTACTTTTTGTCTAATTTTGCCTACTTGTTCAGATTGTTTTTATTTACTTTTTTTAAATGTTTATGTAAAGGGAAAAAAAATTTTTTTGTATAAAATACATGTGCATTAACAATTCATTTGTAACTTGAACCAACAGCATTGCAGTGATAAAAACAACAACAAAAAAAAAACATATCTGTGGACTATGGTTATACTTTAGGTTCTCCAGTTAACAACAGACATTTTCACTAAGTGATGAGCTATTATATCCAACACACTCAAAAAATTTAAAAATGATTATTAAATGTTACTTTTGTTTACAAAGTGATTTTACCTCTATTAACAGTTAAGAATGTACAAAGTAATTCAATTTGCTAAGTTTAAGGCAGCACCTTGTTACAAATTCTTGGCAGTTGATAACCAACAGTGGGCATGTGCAATTGATAATAAGCTGCCCAATTGGCTCTACATTGTTGTGTTTTAGGTGATGATTATGTGTTGTTCACAAGTCAGTAAAGATATAGCTAGGATAACCAAAATCAATGACATTTCATGTTCATAAAATGCATGACATCTACAAAGCCTAAAATCACATCTGAAATAGATCTGTTTGTTCAGTTGTTTTTCTTGTGTGTTATTGCTATGGGGCAGCCAACTGGACAGAGTTTACTTTAAAACTTGTAGAGCTAGGAAAAATGTTTACTCAAATTGAATAATTCACATCAAATATTTCTTATCTATTATAATAATACTCTGTTTTTGTCTGACATTAGATCATAGTATAAGTTTATTTGTTGATAGTATTAAGTATGATAAAGCTTAGTCTTAACTAAATTAAAGCAAAAAAATGTACACAAGTTAGTACATAGTACTTAATAGACTTAACTAATTTTAGGCCTAACATAAGTGGACATTATAATTTTCCTATACTGAAAAAGTATTTCTGACAAATACTTACTTCCACTCACATACATGGCTATTCTTGTTCAGTGTTGCCCTCTATTTGCAAAAATTTTATTTGTATGCCACAAGCCTTTCACTCCCACGCACCCTTCAATTCACTTGATCTAACTGATTCTCACATGTAAACTATCATGCAACAAACCTCCACCAATAGAAGTACCACACACCCATGTGACTCCCTCTACCAAACTATCACTTCAAGTTTAGGCAGAAAGTTCAGCACCAGTTGACAGTGGGGAGGAAGGGTGGGAAGTAATTTCTGTCAGGAATACATCTTCAGTATAAGAAAATTATAATTACCGACAAGGTACCTTACTTCTGCTCACCTACATAACTAGCATTCTACATTGAATAGGAATAGGACCAGTACAAGGGAGAAAGTAGAAGCATTCTTCAAAAGCATCTGAAGGACACCATCTAATAAGAGAATTATACATGGGAGATCACACCACTTCTGTACCCAGGTGTGGAAAAGGTGTAACAGATCTGGGTAGAAAATTGTGAAGAGCACATCCCAGTGAGAGAGAACACAGGTTGGACAGTGATTCAAAACAAAAACATATAATAATTTCAATCTCCCTTATAAATGGAATGTGGATTAAATTAAGGGATGTGCCCCAAGGAGTAGAGTGGCTAAGGCATGATGGACCGTACATAGTAACTCAGCTGCATCCAAAACTTGACCATGAGGAACCAACATCCATGAGAGGGTTCAGTCGACTGGAGGGAGAAATCCCACCACGATCTGTGAAACTGACACATGTGAGGAATTATATATCATATATACATATTATATATATCAAACCACGAACCTTACCTCCAGATGAATAGAAACATGAAAGATGTCCCTGTAATGTGCTATGTCCCACACCAACCAAACAGACCGGAACCACCCCAAACACAGCAACATCCTTGGCATAAAAATATTGAGGAAGAAGCAGAGCAACCAACAAGTGCACCCACCATAACCCACAACTCTGGGGTGCACTTGAGGCAAACTGATTTAGGGACCACAGATACCCTGAACACCTGTGTGCGTGGACTTACATTGATTGGTTCAGCTCTAAATCCAAAACTCAACTGATGGGATCTGACATCCTCGTGGGGATAGGATGATGGATCGCAATCACACAGTATGTGTGAGAACAATACATTGGTTGGTTCAGCTCTAAATCCAAAATTAAACCACCAGGAACCAACTTCCATGCAGGAGGGATTCCAATCATTATGATGGTTCACTCCAAAGCTACAACATCCTTCCATCTCTAGTTTATGTGATTGTAATGAACAGTGTACATTCTGTGGCCATGGAAATTTTGAAGTCAAAATGGCTTAACAGTGCAGGTTTTGTTTGTACAATTGTAAAATATTGAAGTATACTTGAACAGGCACCACTCACCACAGAGAGGGATCATGGTCAAAACATGGGACAGGCCCCTGAAAATAATGTATATAACAAAAGAAAAACTCACCAAGTTACAGTCAATCTAAAGTGTTAGAATGGCAGCAGGTGGAAGACAATAACCTGACAAGGAAGAAACAGCAACATGATACAGATAATGAGAGATGAAGGTATGTGGAGTGGTCCACATGCCTGCTTGAAGAATTTCCTCCAAAGGGTGACAGAAATGAGATGCCAGGGAAAAAATAAGGTGCCTAATCTGATAGGAAGACACCTGCAACAAATTATGTGAAGAAGGAGACAAGGAAGAATATGCCAATCTAATTAAAAATTGAACCCAATTGGTAAGGGGGGAAGGAGAGAGATCACAAACAGAGGATAGCTGCCAAGGAATGAAAAGGCAGGAACAAAACACAGAAGTCTATCCAGATCAGCTCGGGAATAGAGGTGGGAAACGGAAGGAAGGAAAATAGGTTAGAAGGAGGAATTACCTTCCCATGCCACCAAAGTTTTGGGAAAGAAATATCAACCCAGGTAAAGGAGAATATATGTGGAATGGTACAGAGTTTGTGAAACATTGATGGCAAACAAATCTGACCGACGATGTCCACAGGCCAAAAGGAGAAGGAAATATGCCTTAAGGGATAAATGAAACATGTAAAAAGATGACAAAGATTCAAACAGAGATAAAGTAAG